TTTACTCATGGAAAAAATCAGGGTTCTTCATACGGAAGAACGGCTTATGTAACATTAAGCACTTTCCGTCGAGATTCAAAGCCGGAAAAAGACGGAAGGTGTGAGACTGCATGGCGGATAATCCTTCCAACTACGACAGATGATGCCAAGCATTATTTTTGCCATGATACTAACTCATGGAAATGTTAAAATGCCTCATTCTTCACAACTTTTTTTAGTAATCATCATTTTGAGAACTGCTAAATTTTCAGTCAATTAATGCATTTCCAAAATATAACGAAAATGTTATTTTGTGACATTTGATTTAGTCTCTTGTACTAAATAATCTCTTAGACTGTAATAAATTAAATAAAAGAAATTTGTGCAAAAAATTCTAGAGGCCAGAAATTTTCTGCATGTAAAAAAACAATTCTGCAATATAACAGTAAAAGTCTAACAGCAAAAGTTGCCAGAAACTTTCTGTATGTACTGGAAATACTTGTACCAAAGGGCTTTTTTCTGTAGGCACTCACGGAAAAAAACTGCAACATACAGATTATGCCTGTGGGTGCATTACGGAGAAAAACAGAATTATACAGATTTTTCCAGCAAATAGATACTTTTTGTACATACAGAAAATTTCTGGAAACTACTGCTGCCAGATATTTTTTGTTTTATTACAGGATAATTTTTTACAGTACAGTCTCTGCCGAGGGGATGTAAATGTACATTCAATCTCCTGATTATTTCCTGATTTTGAAGAGATATTATATTTTTAGTTTTAAAGCGGTAACAAATTGTATGGGTTAATATTTTTTATCTTTGCTTAACAAAGTTGATTCATTAGGATTTTAACCTCTACTACATATATATAATTTAAAGAAATGTATAAAAATCCTAAAAATACTCTTAAGAAATATAAAGTCTTAGCGTCATTAAAAAAATTTCCTCTTACAATTATTATATCGCTACCACTACAAAGAATCTTAATTTTAAAAAAAAAAAAAATTTGAGCAGTTTGTGATATGGCCTAAATTGGGAAAAGCTCAAAATGTGGTTTACGACTAGGCAACCCTCTACGACCAAAATTTTAAAAAATTTTATTTTTATAATTTTATAACCGTCGTTGAACAGCTGACGCAATTTTGGGTTTGCGACTGCTAATGCTCAACTCCGTAGCCTTGTAATTCTGAACCCAATCCAGAAGACATGGAAACTCCTGAATCCGTACCCCCAGAGGTATGATTTGTTATGGAAGCATGGAGGACTTCGTGACCCGACAGATTTAACGTGCATCAGTCACCATTTACTACACGGGGAGTCTTCGGCCGGAGGGGATCAAATCCCCGACTTCTTATACATGGGTTCAGCGCCCTAAAAACCAGGCTATCCTGGTCCCATTAATAAATTTTGCAGTGTACAACACATCAAGGAGCCATAGGGTTCATGATGGTGGAATGTCCAGATAACAATAAGATGATTAATTTAATGTTTACGGGCTGCTTGCAACTCGGAAAATTGGTATTAAAACAATTTTACTAACCCATTTGGGACCTTTTATCAGGAAAACTCTTTTTTTGAAAAAAGAAAAAAGTTCAAGTGTGTAACTGTTCGGATTTATTTTGCGGAAACAAGATAGTGATTGTTAATGGAAATGATACCATGATTGTTAATGGAATCCATGATTGTTAATGAAAAAAAAATGAGTAAAATTTCACATAATAAAAATAATAGTTTAGACAACTTATATTTTGTAATTAGACTTTAAAACCCTTTTTTTTGATACGTTTAAATTTTTTAATATATTTGTCAATTTAAAGAATTTACTTCCATTAAGAGATTTTAACATAATTAAAAGCTACAAATATAATTAAACACTTGGTAGAATTATTTTTAATTATAATGATATTAGCAAAAATTGAGGGAAAATTGACATAACTGATTATTATTGTAAGTGTGAAGAAGAGAAATATTTCGAATTTTTGGTAAACATCATAAACATATTATTATTGGTAAATTAAATATTATAGATAACTCAGAACTGAGAAATTTAATTTTAAAAGCCATGAACTTCAGACCCATTTACCGTACGAGTAATAAAGATATCTAACAGATTCTCTTTACCTTTAGGTATGTTAACAGAATGGAAATAATCTGTTTATTACTTTATTATTAATAATATGGTAAATTTAAATAACAGTAATAATTCAACAGATTTTTTTTTTAAATTGATCAAGGGATTAGGCCACTTCAGACGAATTTTGTAATTACCCCCATTAACAACAACTAATAATAATTATGCAATCTTCTGAAAAAAATTCTATGTTAAGCTTTTAAATAAAGAGTTTAAAAATCGAAAAAAATAAGCTTAATAATTTAAATAATAATTTCCTCATTAAAATTTTTTATCTTACTGTAAGAGGTTAAAAATTAAAATTAATAATATGCAATTTCCATAGTTAATTATCAGTCTAAAATTTCTATTTAATTTAGAACAATCACTTGTAGATCTAATACTTCTTTAACTTTACCTGGCACTATTATCACTGACTACTTAAATAAAAATATTAACATTATTAAAGTAGATTTTACTTGGATTGTCACTAATTATCAACCTGTTTCAGAATTTATCAAACAAAATAAAATTAATTTGATTGCTACTTTTGATTTCCAAGATCTTCTTAATCGATGATATTAAAATATCTTTAATTGTGATTTTGATTATTGAGAAATTCTAATTATTAGACAATTATAAGACAATATTAAGTATTAAAAAAAGAGGTTTTAAAAGGAGTATTTAAGTATTAAAAAAGAAGAAAATATTAACATTGTTGACTTATACTGTAAAAGGAATGATTTTAAATTTAATTTAAATAAACTAATTGCATGGAATTCTAATGTTTCTAAAAATATTTATTTAAATACTACTTCTAATCAAATGAATAGAATTAAAAGAATTTGTAGTAATGCTTATTTACTAAAAACCAAATCGACGAACTCTTCCAAAATTGAATAAAAAAACAATGAATATCCACCTAATGCAATGAAATTTCATTTAAAATCGCTGAGTTAATTAATTGTACTTTATAATTAAAAAATTCTTTGTCAACTAAATTTATATTTTTACCATGTGCAAATCCAATTCAGACAAATGCGTGGCTAAAATTCTTTTTATATTTAACAAAGAATTTTTTTTCAATCAATGTTAATAATTCATCGAAATTAAAATGTTATAACGAAAGTTCGACCTTTTATTAATAATAAACATTGAATTATCCAGTATAATATAATTAACTTGCGCAAATCCAGTCTCGGGCCAATTCAAGGGCAACCGACAAATCAAATGCGGTTCTGTACTTCAGTAAGAGCGCGCAATAAAATACATTCCACTATATTTACGCTTTTATTTTCATATTTTGATAACGCGAAAACTTGTTACGAAAATATTTTAAATCCTTTTTGCAAGATGCTGGTAGGTGTAAAGATATTTGAATTACTACTACTCGCTACTCGCTTTTTAGGTTGTGTTTTATTCTGTTTTTTTTTTCTTTTCTTGTATTGTTTTTATTCTTGAATTTTTATTTTCTATTTTTTGCTTGATGTGTTTTACTTTGTATTTTTTGCTTAATTTGTTTTTTGTTTTTTTTCCTTTTCTTACTTTTTTGGTGCTCCTTACAGTATTGTCTTGATATATTTTGCTTTGGTTATATTAATACAATATTAGAAAGTCTCAACTAGTCTCAAACTAGTTTTGTTTTTTCAAAATGGTATTTATAGTTTCCCTGAATTACATGGTTATAAAGAACACTTGTCTGCTGCTTTAAAAATAATACTTACGTCGAAAAAGAATGATTTCAACTTATCGCATCATAAGCTGAAATTCATACCATGCCGTACTCATGTTGAATACCACGCCATACGCACCAGAGAAGTAGGGAAGCGTTGCAATAACTCTAGTGATTTTTTAAAATAAAAAAATCCTTAAAAATTTTTTTTTGGACGATATTATTAAATTGCTTAAAAACTGGAACTTGTATAGAGATCTCAAACCGAAAGTATCGATTGCAAACATTATATATTCTCCAGCGTAGAAATAGATGCGAATTCAATTTTATAATTTAAAAAAAAAAATATTGAACATTTTCTGTATGTATCAATTCTGTGTACATCGGCGTAATAGTGTTTTTTGAAGGCTATTGTATTAAATTAAGGTATTAAATTTTTAACTAATGCCAAAACAATATTTCTTGATTTGATCCACTTCATAATTACAAGCATCCCTCACATTTGATGAAAGCAGGGATCCCAATTTAATGAATTACTTTGAACTGAATTTAGATAAGGTTCACCCAATGAATTATTTTGGTTAAAAACCATTTTTCTTTTCTTTAGGGATATCATAATTTTCACTTATTTTTCATTTTTGATGGAAGCACCAATTTATGAACTTAAATTATTAGCAGGCATTTGAAACCTATTTCGGTGAATTATTTTGGTTTCCCATGGTTACATCCCATGGTTAGGGACCAAATTTGATTAAAAACTAGGAAAATTCATAATTTTCAATCATTAGTCACTTTTAATGGAAGCACCAATTTATGACCTTAAATTATTAGCAGGAGTTTAAAACCTATTGTTTCGGCGACATTGAAATTTTCAAGCAACTTTTAATGGTATAAATTTAAGTCTTTAAATAGAATTTTTTTTTTTTTTTTTTATTTACGCAAAATCAATTCTCACTTTTAACGGAAGCACCACTGACAATAAATTACAATCTTTAAATCGTTAAATGGTGTTGGAACTATAATTATTTTGATTTATTCAATTAATTACTATGGTGAAGAACCATTTTACTTGTTAAAGGCAACATCATAATTTATAATGATTTCTCACCAATTTTAATTACTGGCGTGTAAAGCATTATTTAGTCAATTACTTCAATTTTTTACGACAATTTAAAAAGAAGTAATAAAAATAATATAAAAAATATACAAAAATTTTAAAATTAAATAAAATCTCACCTTCATTATTTGCACTGAAACCCGATCATCTTCTGTTATAGGATTGCCTGAAAGCATAACGCGTCAAAAGGTGCGTTTAACCACAAACTCGCTCTCCCAACTGCTTTGCCAGAGCTCTGGCCATTAAACCTTAGCATGGACTGCTTATTCATTGGCCAATGTTACCTGTCAGTCATTTAATATAGGCGGAGCATAAGGGCGGATCTTTAATACAAGAGATCCTCTTACATTCTTCTTTTCATGTGAGAGCAGAAGGGGGGACGAACTTCCAGAGCTCTACACAATTTCTTGGTTCGGGTATCCCCCATTGGATATTCTTTCCCCTTCTCATCATTGATTGCACCTCAAACCCTCCTTTTATGTCCCAATTAAATAAATACATTGCGGTTTTTCTTCATTTTGGAAGGGTACAGAAATATTGAATTCTTTCAATCCTCAGTAGCATATTACTTTTATCTAGTCAGAAAACATAATCTATTGACCTATATAATCCTATCGATCTATTAAATTCACAAATATTGACTGAGAATGAATACAGAAACATGGCATATTGTATTATTTCTATATTTAATTATCTTTAATCAGTTGCATAAACGCTTTATAAAGTTAATTCTTAGATGCTGTATTTCATAAAAATAGAAAAATATACTCTACTCGATAGTGATCAGTAAAATTCACAGTTATCGACTGAGACTGAATACAAAAATATAGCATATTGTATTCTATGCAGAATTTCATCTTTTTTAAACAGTTTCATAAATGCTTTATCTTTTATCAGGTTAATTCTTAGAACCTGTGTTACACTAAGATAGAGCAATATAATCAGCTCCATTGATCCATAAAATCCATATTTATTAACTGAGAATACAGAAATATGGCATAGTGTATTATTTCTATGTTTAATTATCTTTAATCAGTTGCATAAACTCTTTATCCTACTTTTATCAAGTTAATTCTTAGATGCCATATTTTATAAAAATAGAACAAAATACTCTACTCTATATTGATCCATAAAATACACAGTTATCGACTGAGAGTGAATACAGAAATATAGCATATTGTATTCATTGCATATTTAATTATCCATAAACAGTTTCATAAACGCTTAATCTTTTATCGAATTAATTCTTAGAACCTGTGTTACACTAAGATAGAACTATATAATCAGCTCCATTGATCTATAAAATCCATATTTATTGGCTGATAATACAGAAATATGGCATATTACAGGGGTTGCCAAGCTCCTTGATAGTCGAACCATTTTTCAAAATTTGAAATTTTCCACGAGCCGCAATTAAATAGGTATTTAAAAGGTATGCAAAAAAGGTATTAATTTTTTTTCATGAATTATGTTTATTGAAAACATAAGTAAAAGTACAAAATATGTTTATTGAATTTAAATATTAAAAATTAAACACATTTACTTTACTTTTCTTGATAATTCTTTAAAATTTGGTGAATAATTGGTGACAGCACTTCTTTGAAATGCTGGTTAGTTAATACTGATCGGTGTTTGGATTTCACGAATTTTAAAGTGGAATAATTGACAAAGTAAGGTGGAATGATTCACATAAGTACGTTGTTCCGAATATTGAAATAATTCGACAAGCAGCCTTTTTTGATTCAGGATACTCCGATTCTGGTACAAATTTTCAAAATTCAGTAATCGACGTCGACTTATATTTTAATTGTAGAGCTTGATCTTCTTACATCTCAATTAATTCTAATTCTTCAGATGCTTTTTGTGTCATAATTATATTGGAAATGAAAAACTCACCTTGAATTGAACAACGTTGCACTTAGTCTTTCCTATTTGTTCTCAGTAATTTAAAAGACATTCTGAACACACACGGAACGATATTAATTTTTTTAAATATAATAGCACAAAAATGAAAAGTGAACTCTGGTACATTTATCGAGAGCCACAAATAATCCTTCAAAGAGCCGCATGTGGCTCGCGAGCCGCAGGTTGGCCACCCCTGCCATATTGTATTCTTTTGATAATTAGTCATCTTTCATTAGATGCATAAAGGCTTTATTTTACAAACCTTTAATTAGTATTATGGGAACTTCTATAATACAAATTATTGACCTCTATCACTCTATCGATCTATAAAATTCGCAGTTGTTGACTGAGAAGGAATACAGAAATATGGCATTTTGTATTCTTTTGATATTTAGTCATCTTTAATAAGTTGCATAAAGGCTTCATTATACAAACCTTTAATTATTATTATAGGAACTTCTATAATACAAATTATTGACCTCTATCGCTCTATCGATCTATAAATTCACAGTTGTTGACTGAGAAGGAATACAGAAATATGACTTATTGTATTATTTTTATATGAATTAAAATATCAGTTTTCACTTTTGTTTCTTTTATCTAGTTCATTCCTGGAATCTGTATCTATTGTACCATATAATACACTTTATTGATCAATAAAATCCCAAGATATTCAGTGAAAGTGAATGTGCAAATATTGCATATTATAAACTTTCTTTAATCAGTTGAATAAATGCCTTCTTTTATTTAGTTCATCTCAAAACTTGTAAAACATAAACTATTGAATTGAACAATCCATTCTATCGATCTATAAAATCCACAGTTCATATTTGTATTGTCATATTTGTATTCTTTTTGTTATCAGTCCAATGCTCATTTTTTCAAGTTTATCTCAGAACCTGTATTCGATTGAACTGTGTAATCCACTCGATCTACTTTTATTGACCATAAAATCCATATTATTCATCATTAAAATTAATTTTTTTTAAAATTATTTTTCTGTATCATCAGATTTTACTTGAAAGATAAATTTTCCGTTGGGGAAGAATTATTTCGAAATGTGGCGTAAATAATGGATATTATTTATTGTTACTTATTCATTTTTTTATTTTATACCTGTAAATCAACTTTTCATCGATTCTTTAATACACATGTTTTTTCTGAGAAATTTTAATCAGGGAACATGGAGAGATTCTTCCATCCGTTGTTTCCTATTTATTTGACTTACTAATCATATAATAGAATTACTCCGTATTTTTCAAACATTGTAGTAATACCTTTTTTAATGAACAAGACAAGGAGCAAATTTTTAAGGTCGAATAGAGATTTTATTTAGTTATCTATTAATTATTACTAGTCACTCAATCAAATTATTTTTAATGCATTTCACACCTCAGAATTACCTTCAAGTTCGTTAAAATTTTATAATAGAAGAATTTCGTTATTAACCTTTCATTAAAGAAAGATTTTTTATAAAAGAACATGTTTTCATCGATCGAAAAATTGTTTTCTTTAAAGATTGTTTTCTTTACGATTATTTCATATTTTTCACTTAAGAAGCGTCTGCAGTGGATGGTAGATATATCTTCTTGACACTATGCAAAATTCCAGTACAAAGTACTTTCTAACTCCAATTTTACTGTAAAAGTTTTCTGAAGGAAAAAAAATCTGATATACCGTAATTTCTAAAGTTACATTTATCTTTTCACAGTAATTAAACAAATTTTGGGTTAAAAATTACGGTATAAAATTTTACGGTAAAAATAGATGATACATCTATGGAATCTTTTTATGGTAACATTTCTCTCGTTTCGATTCCAATTGTTAAGCATTTTGCGTATTTAAAACGGCGTTTAATTTATTAATTGCATTTATAAATTTAATTTCAAATGACGACATCTAAATGTAACGATAGTGTGTTTTTCTGCCAAGTATATATTTTCAACTGCAAATCATTTTAATATTTCTAAAAAGAATCATCATCAGAAATATTAAAGCAGTTATGACACAGTGTTCGTAGTCCTTATAAAAAGTATTATCAATATTATAGTTAAAAATGACTTTTTATTAGCTTCAAAAACCCAGAATTTCATGACGAGATATATTTATTAGAAAACTATCGTGGTGAATACAAACGTATAAAAATGTGCATATTTTTCTTAATTTCCGCTACCACTTTTTAAGAACAGACATATTCAAAAATTGGAGCTCCGATACTTTCGATAGAACGGCAACCACTTCAACTGTGTCCGATATTGTTTCGAATATATAATTCTAGTTGGTATGAATTAGAGCGGCTACCACTTCAGCTGCGTCTAGAAACTAATCTCATGAAACTTATCCTTGTAAAAGAGGTCCGATATTGTATCTAATGTATAATTCTAGTTGGTGCGAATTAGAACGGCAACTACTTCAGCTACGTCTAGAAACTGATCTCATGAAACTCATTCTTGCAAAAGAGGTCCGATATTGTATCTAATACATAATTCTAATTGGTACGAATTAGAACGACAACCACTTCAACTGTGTCCGATATTGTTTCGAATATATAATTCTAGTTGGTATGAATTAGAACGGCTACCACTTCAACTGCGTCTAGAAACTGATCTCATGAAACTCATCCTTGTAAAAGAGGTCCGATATTGTATCTAATATATAAATCTAGTTGGTGCGAATTGGAACGGCAACCACTTCAGCTGCGTCTAGAAACTGATCTCATGAAACTCATCCTTGTAAAAGAGGTCCGATATTGTATCTAATATATAATTCTAGTTGGTGCGAATTAGAACGGCAACCACTTCAGCTGCGTCTAGAAAACTGGACTCACGAAGCTCATCCTTGCAAAAGAGGTCCGATATTGTATCTAATATACAATTCTAATTGGTACGAATTAGAACGACAGCCACTTCAGCTGCGTCTAGAAACTAATCTCATGAAACTCATCCTTGTAAAAGAGGTCCGATATTGTATCTAATATATAATTCTAGTTGGTGCGAATTAGAACGACAGCCACTTCAGCTGCGTCTAGAAACTGATCTCATGAAACTCATCCTTGTAAAAGAGGTCCGATATTGTATCTAATATATAATTCTAGTTGGTGCAAATTAGAACGGCAACCACTTCAGCTGCGTCTAGAAAACTGGACTCACGAAGCTCATCTTTGCAAGAAAAGTTCTGATATTGAATCTAATACATAATTCTAGTTAAACCACTAAGATTAGGAATGTTTTATTTACTATTTTGTATAGTTAGAAGAACATAATTACTTAGGAAGAGTAAAACCAGTTCAGAAAGTTACTCGAGTAACCTTCAGTCGTCCTAGTAAATTCCTCTTTTATTTATT